AATTCACAATTCTGCAATTAAATCTCAGAATTCTAAGATAAAAAGTCAGAATTCTGAATTTTCTCCCAAATTAAACTCAAATAACAACAAAAAAACAGTCACTTTTTTTATTTTATTTCCAATGGCCCTAATCCTGTTCCGTACTATATCCACCAGGCTACATAAGGAGAAACCTTTATGGTAATACACACAGTGAGGATTTACTAAGTGTATGTAATATAGATCTAGATGAATGAATAACTATTGATCACACCGTGCACAGTAGCAACCATGCTTACTCAGATTCTACCTGCTGGCTTCTTTCATTTCTTCTGCTCTTCCTGCCCCCCAAACCTCCCTGCTTTCTAGATAATGAGCCCATCTCCAGGTTAGAACTGGATCTGATCCTGCTTAAGAAAAAATATTCACCAAAAGAAACTTTCCAGTAAATTTGACCTTCCAAGTTTTATTCCAGAGGAAACTGAAAAAAGTCACCTGACAGAGACCTCCAAGCCTGGAGTTTATTAGTTTATCGAGGTTTTTAGAAAACGTTGCTCTGAAACCTGAATGAGGAGTGGAACCAAGAGCTGCCAGTCATTAAACGGACAAACAAAACCGACCGGAGAAGAAAAACCCGTTTCCAGAGTCTCTGCCTTTGATCTGCAGCTCTCCTGCTGCCGTCTCTCCGTCTGTGAGGAGGAGGAGGAGGAGGAGGAGGAGGTCTGATCGTTGCCTGCATGCGGAGCTCCTGCTGGACTTTAACCCCGCCTCCTGGGTGTCGCCGCCACGCCGTCAGAATGACAAGCTCTTTTCATTCAGGGGATTAGCACTAGATGTCCCAGAGAATTCCAGTTTTCCTGCAAACTCCCCTCTTCTACCTTGCTAAGTGTCCTTGTTGTAATGCTAATAACCTGTGATGTGACCAGTCCTTCTACATGAGGCTGGATAAAGGCTGAAACAAACTGGCATCAGAACCAGAGCATGCTCCAAACACTTTTCATTACCTTCCCCTGCAACATCAGACCTTTCTGCAGGAATATCTTGATAAGTCTAAATCTTTTATTTAGGCAAACCTATTGAACAACCAGATATTATTACTGAGCTGAGAACAGATCATAATCAGCTTTTCCAACAAGGCAAGGCAGAGCCTATTTATATCATCC